CCCCCACCCCCGAGATTCCAGTACCTGCAGTTGGGGGGCAGCCCCACCCCCACCCCCGAGATTCCAATACCTGCAGTGGGGGCCAGCCCGCCATGCCCACAACCCTCTTCCCCCTGCAACAGGGCCAGGCCAGGCCACTCACCTCCTGGCCGGTGCTCTGCTCCAGGTAGGCACCCCCTCACAGCCCCGGGTGCCCTCCACCACTGGGCTCCTAATCTCCCACCACACATGGGCTGAGTTCTCCCTGCCTTCCCTGTTCCCCCTCCCCTGGTGTGGCCTGCTCACAGTCAGTCCCTGAAACAGATTTTTAATTTTTCTGACAGGTGACTGCCACCCATGGGCTATGCCACCTGCTGGGCTTCACACACAGCACACAGGCTGAGTGGCAGAAGGTAGGAGCTGTCCTCCGGTCCCCCAGCGGGCACAAGAGGGCGCACCAAGGACCAGGCTGCCTGAGCTGCCTCCGGCAGTCAAGTATAAAAACCAAATTTGAGGGGGAAAGGCAGTAAGTTAAAAAATTTTATAAATGCTGATTTCACCAAAAAGAAGACTAACAGTGTCTGTTAAAATATCGGGCTCCCCAAATGCTACTAACCGTATTACTATTCACTGTTGAAAGGAAGGTCTGAGGAGAGAGACCAAATTCTATAAATCCTATAAAACTCTAATGGCTTAAAGTTAAAAAGTCTTTACAAGAGAAACTGATGATATTGATCAGTTGGGAACTCAAGTCATGCTGGCCTCCGATAGAGACCTACTGTGTAAAGTTAGTTAGCCACCTGTTTTCTTCAGAAGTGCCAATATCTATCCCATGTAGAAGGGTGCATGTTGGTATATGTATGTATTATTTTTAATAAACATACATTATACTTGTAATCAAGAAATTGGATTCTCTGGAAGGCAGCAGAAAGCTTTTTCAGTTAATTAAAGAGTCCTTGATACACAGCTGTCCTTACATCCAGCCCATCTCAGGCTGGGTCCCCCTCGCCAACCCTGGCTCGGCTTCCCCTCCAAGTCAGCGCTGACCCTGCTGTGGCCCCTTTGCCCCACTCTTGCAGCATCTTGGAAAGTCCATGTTGTTACCGCCAGCAGGGACCCCGGCCCACCCTCCCCAAGCACTGACCACCCTTTGCCCTGGAAGGGGCTGTTCTCACTTACCGCCTTCCCATGTATTCTGGGCCCAGCTGACTTGTCTGGCCTGTTCTGCAACCCCAGACAGGGGCTCCTCTTCTTTTGCCCAGGGCCACTACTTCAGCCCCTGGCCCACAGTCGCTCCTGTGGCCGCACCTGTCACCCCGCAGGCAGCCTGTCCACACTCCCTGTGCACAGTGCTGGGTGAAGGCGAGCAGAACTGGGTCCTGCGCTTTGCGTTTGGAAAGCCACGCAGCCAAGTCTCCTCGTGCCACGACCACGGACTCGGGCTCTAGGGACGGGCTTCCCCCAGAGGGCACCCCTGGGCCAGGCCACTGAGGAGTCCACAGTTGGCTTCCATTGCTTTCTTTCAGATGTACCAGAAGGAGAAGCAGGTTCTCGAGGAGCTGAGCCGGCGCACCGGGACGAGGCTCCAGCCCCTAAGCAGGGGCCTCTTCTAACGCTTGCTGGGGCTCAAGACGCGAGCGGCCCCTGAGGGACTCTCCAGTGCACAGGGGCACCGTGTGGAGGGCAGACGGACCCTCACTTTCGGGCCCTGAGGATCAGGGACACCCCCAAACTGAGGGCCCTGCTGGTAGCTGCTGCCCTGTGGGGTGCAGAAGTGACAAAGTATGAAAAGAAATGTCCGTTCATGTCTTCATTTGGAACCCAGCAGACGTGTTCTTTTCTTTCTTTTTTTTTAACGTTTTATTTATTTTGAGAAAGAGAGAGAGACAGCATAAGCAGAAGAGGGTGAGAGAGAGAGACAGCGTGAGCAGGGGAGGGTCAGAGAGAGAGAGACAGCATGAGCAGGGGAGGGTAAGAGAGAGAGGGAGATACAGAATCTGAAGCAGCTCCAGGCTCTGAGCTGTCAGCACAGAGCCCGACGTGGCCTCGAACCCACGAACGTGAGATCATGACCTGAGCTGAAGTTGGACGCTCAACCGACTGAGACCCCCAGGCGCCCCTTGACGTGTTATTTTCCTTTTGCTAATAAAATAGTTCTAAAGTCCTAGAATGGGGAGATGGAGCACAGGAGCCTCATCCACCTTGGGGTACTGCCTTTGGCAAGAGGTGTTCCTCTGCTGCCTGTGCAGCCTGCTCAGGAAGATCAAACCGGCAGCCCAGGGCGGGCGGGCCCTTCTCCCTCCCACAGGGACCCTGTTGCACTCGGTGCCACTCACCCTCGAGTGTTGTGACCTGCCACCTTTATGAGGGGAGACACAGGCTGACCTTTAGGGTGGCCACAAAGCCCAGGACAACCTCAGCCAGGTGACCCCTAGCAGACATCTCCGGCCCCTCCCATCTCCTGAGATGGGCACAGCCCCGGCTCTGACCTTTACCATGGACTCTACCTAAGGCCTCTTTCCCGGCACTGACGTGGCCGGAGCTCTCGAACCCTGTTGGCCCCCAGCCACCTGCTGAGCGAAGGGAAGAGTCTCTGGCTCCAGGGGAGCCCTGACCTCCAACTGCTACATCCATCGCCCTTCCTGTGTTTCCTGCCTTATCCTCTGAATATTAAGCCCAGGAGGCGGCACAGACCATCCAGAGCGTCGTGGGAGCAGAGCGCAGAGGTGCTCTGGGCCAGCCCGGGGCCTCCTTCACCAGCCTTGACAAGGGCATGGTGAACTCTGCAGAGGCCGTGGCAATAAAACAACCTCTCAGGAACTCTCTGGCCCCCAAACCAGGAATATTACAATTCTGAGAATTTGGTTTCTCCCATGAATCCATTTCAAAAACATTAAAATGCATTTCCCACTGGATCTGCCGTGTCTGCACTTGGACTTGCCCTGGTCGCTCAGGGACCCAGGAGGGCTCGCGGTGTTCCCGAGCCGCACGGGCTCTGCACGGCCTGCCTGTAGCCGGGGAAGCTGGTTATCGGTGGAAAGTCGAACAGCTCTCGGCGCCGCGGTTCTTTTTAAGAGAATGAAGGGGTCCTGAGACCGGCCTGTCCTGTCAGCAGGTGTTTCGGATGCTGCCCCGTCTTCTGTTACAGCCTCCATGCAGCTCTGGGCACGGGGGGGGGGGGGGGGGGGGGGGGGGGGGGGGGGGGGGGTGGCTGGGGGGGTCCAGCTTTATCAGGCAACGCCCAGTGCTTCCCAGGGGCCTGGCCACTCATCCCTCTGCAGCCCATAGCAGGGACTTGGGTCCAGACCCCAGCCCGCATGCACCCGGACTCCTGCACCCGTCACATGTGCCCTGGGGCTGGCCTGCGTCTGTGTGTCAGCAGTGACAGGCTCCTCATTGGTGTCCCATGGGTTTTTCTTTTTAATTGATTTAGAGGGGTTTTTATATATCATTGAAAAAGATAGGGAATGTAAGCCCGTGTCCTTCTGACTTAAATCTGAGAAAAGGCCACCCCACCCAGCCACGCAACTCCGTCTCGGCTGTCTCATTCCCCTGAACACTTCTGCCCACCCCTGACCTGGCCACAGTGCCCTGGGTCGAGGGCTTCTGCAAGCCCAGTCTCTGCCGGGACAGGCCCCTCCTCCCGCCCCGGGGGTCCCTCGGGTTCGTCAGCCCTTTACTCTCCCGCGTGGTCTCCAGATTCGGCTCCTGAGCGCCGTGGAGCACCTGGAGTCTCGATTAGAGGCACAGTCAGTCTGTAGACCTGCTGGGGACGTTAGGGCTCCAGGCCAGGCCTATGTGGTACCTTGTTTCATGGATCTTCGACCCCTCAGCACAGGTGGGCGCCCCGCAGCACCCCTCACCCAGGGGCAGGAGGGCACGGCCATGAGAAGAAAATAGTTTCTCCACTCACACGACTTCTGACACGAAGTGCTAGGAGTCTGTGCAGACCCCACAGCGTAAGGGCTCAGTCCCACCGCACTGCCCCCACTCGGCAGCAGGGCACCCACGCTTCTGTCCACCTCTACCACAGATCAGAGGATTGTGGGCTTCCGGAGCTCCGTGAGCAGAAGTGGGGGTGAACACCAAACCTCCAGCTCTTACGGCACGCAGTCAAGCTCTGCACAGCCTCCACCCCGTGCTCCAAGCACTCGGAGCCAGAACCCCCTCCCAGGCAGATTTGTAGCAGTGTTGGAAGTTATGACCGCTTCGACTTTCACGGGTCTCTTCCAGGGCCTGCTCAGATCTCTTCAGTGTCCCCAGATCGGCCTGCACAGGACCATGGGGAGCCCCCCCATGAGGGCCGCCTTCACCCCTGCACCTGCCTTGCTCTGCCCTGTCACAGCACCTAGACGCTCCTCAATGCAGGAACACGTTTCCTTCGTCCCTGCGGACCAAGAGCTCCTGAGAACCTTGTGATTTCCTGGGTGATAGGAATGTCTTTTGTTCTAATGAGGCAACTCTTGGTGGGCTCCTGGGTGGCTCCTCGTCCCCAGAAAGACCTGCCATGATTGGAAGCTTGGAACTTTTAGGCCCCTCCTCCCAGAGGGAGAGAAGGACTGGAAATGCAGTCACTGTAGCTCATGGGCACGCCTACGTCTGGAAGCCCCCATAAATCCCAGTTGTGCAAGGCCCAGGAGCCTCCAAGTGAATGAACACGTCCACACTGAGACGGTGATGCACCCCTACTGCACGTGGCAGAGGCTCCTATGCTGGGGACCCTCCCAGACCTGCCCCACCCCTTATCACATCCTTCAATAAACTGGCACATGTGTTTCCTGAGTTCTGTGAGCGGCTCTAACAAAGTCATCGAACCTGAAGAGGGGTCATGGGGACCTCTGCTCCCTGATGCAGCAGATCAGGGGCAGGGACAACCTGCGCTTGCATGGGGGGCGGGGCAGCCTCGTCCTCACACAGGTGGACGGTGTCAGAGCCGAGTTGGATGGCAGGACATCACGGTGATGCCAGAGGACTGGTGACTAGAAGTGACAGAAGTGCCCGTTCCATGTGTGAGTAAAGGACATTCATGGGGAAGAACTGGAGTTTCCTCACTCAGGACACACAAAACTGGGTTTTTGCAATTTATCAGGCCATCCAAAGACATCCAACTTCTAAATGTCTTCCCTGTATTGAATTAACGATTATGTTGAGAAATGAAACCCAAGAGAAAAGCCATGTTAGAAAACATCAACGGGAAAATCAGAAATGGAGTCAGACCTTTAATTGCCTCTCACAAGAGATGTGCGCGTGGGCACCTGCCGCCCCCCCCCCCGGAGGCCCCCGAGCGCCCACACGGCTCGGGCGTCCACTTCTCCGGGCCACCACCCCACGAGCCTGCAGGGTGCGAGGAGACAGACAGGCGACGGCTCTCACTGGTGCAGAACTTGGGGAAAAGAGAGGTTATCCCAGAAGGGGCAGAAGAAACACCTGTAATGTTTAAATGTGATGTTTACGTGAAAATCATATTAAAATGTCGAGGGAATAGAATTCCACCAAGGAAAAAAAGTCACAAAAAAAGAAGACTAAAGGCGATGTTCATACCAGGAGCCCTGACAGAACCAAATGGAACAAGCGCACAGAGAAAGCCCCCTTTCCTCCTCCCTCTTCGGAGGGAACCGCGTTCAACTTGGCGCTTGACTCGTAGGAGGAGCCACGCACACCTGCGCCGAAAGGTAACTGCCCCGCAAGAGCCCCTCCCCCGCCTGCTTTGCTTCTCGAGCCCGAGCCCGGGGGGGGGGCCCTCACCTCGGCCGCTTGTAGGAGGCAGGCCTCCCAGTTACCATGTCTGACTTTGCTGGTGGTGTTTGTTCCCGGGAAGGCCTAACAGTTTACACAGCTAACCCTGGGCCACCCTTCCTGATGAAGTCCCTGTATTTCCTCACGCCTCACAGTCCAGCCTCTGGGGACAAGGCTGCAGGCCTCTGCCGGGGCTCCCCGGCCACACCCGCCGGGGAAGCGGGACCCTGCTGCTTACCGGAGCCCAGCTCTGGAGGCTCACAGGCCCGGAGCCTGTGTGGGCAGGATGCCGTCAGATGCCACCCTAGGAGAGCCGAGATTTCGGGGTGTAGTTACCGCCTTGGCCTGGCTCGCAGACACCACGCTACAGGCAAGTCGTGCTGCCAGGGCTCGGGGCGGGGGGCTTCCCCACATCCCTGCTCATACTCCCGGCACCACTCCCGCGGGGCTGGACAAATGACCCAGGCCACAAGCAGCCTCTCCGGGAGGTTAGCATGGGGTCCATTTCCGGCCCTCGACCACCACGGGCTGACACTGCCAAAGACCCCCTGCCTCCTTCCGGAAGACAGCAGGGCCTTCCCAAATTCCCCGCTACAGCCTGCGGACCTGACAAAGACAGGGTCCCTGGCTTCGCAGCAGGGGTGAGGAGGTGCCACCCAAGCCCTGGGGTTTTCCCACTCCACAAACCCAGGAAACTGGCCTTGACTTACCCGCTAAGGGCTGCGAAGGGGGGGCCCGCCGCGTGGTGCAGGAAGCCGGAGGCAGGTGGGAGGGCGGTGGCTGAGACCACCGGGGGCCACAAGGGGTAGCCCGCCGGGGAGGCCTGCGGCGGGGCTGGGGGCGCGTAGTGGTGGTGGTGATGCACGGAGGGTGGCTTCTGCCTCTGGGCTCGCAGGACAGGAGGAGCCCCCTGTGAGTCCTCAGCACAGCGCACAACTGGCCCGTTTCTACAGGGTGGAGGCTGCTCCCTGGGTCCACCCTTTCCCTCTGCCTGCTTTCTACCTTAGGAGTGGCCAGAACCCAGGATTGGCATCAAAGAGAAGGGCAGAGGGAGGTGGGAAGGAGGGGAGGGCAGCTGGGGGGGAAGGGAAGATAGGGAGAAAGGAGGGAAGGGACGGGAGAGGCCCAGGCTCCAGCAGAGCCCGCCTGGCTCTAGGCCCCAAAATGCAGAACTCATCCTGCATCTGGGTGGGACCGGGGAGCGTCAGGGGGGCTTCACAAGCGGGTCACGGACCCCGGAGTCAGATGCGCTTCTCAGGATTGCACAGATACACAGGCTTCCAGAAGAAAAGCCACCCAGGTCCTCTGGCTTTGATTTGGGCCATCTCCTTTGCGCTGGTGCCCGTCCCCAGCCCAGCCTACCTGTGGGGCGGGATGCAGAGGAGTGGCCTGTGATCCCCCGGAGGGCAGGGCTTTGAGCATCAGGTTTTGCATAATGATCTGGTGCATCTGTGCATTCTGCATCAGCATCATCTCCACCATGTCTGGAGGAGAGGCAGGGGGAAGGGGGGCTCCGTCATTCCCAGGCCACATGCGGATTCCCAGGCCACTCCTGAGAACAAAGCCTTAGAGCATCGTTTGTTGAGACAGGTGCAGGTCTCTGTAAGCAAGAGGACGTCTTTGTGCAAGGGCTCTGGGGAGTGCATTTCGAGGTATGAAGCTTCTGTGTTGGAGGGTGTATGTGCTTGAAAATGTACAGGGCCCCTGGGTGGCTCTGTTGGTTAAGCGTCTGACTTCCGCTCAGGTCATGATCTCACGGTTCATGGATTCAAGCCCTGCATTGGGGTCTGTGCTGACAGCTCAGAGCCTGGAGCCTGCTTCTGATCCTGTGTCTCCCCTTCTCTCTGCCCCTCCCCCACTCATGGGGTGTGTGTGTGTGTGTGTGTGTGTGTGTGTGTGTGTGTGGCAGAAACAAACATTAAAAAAATTAAAAATAAGATAAAATGCTGTTGCGCGTGTTCAGCTGGGCTCCTGAGAGGCTGTTCCACTTTGCACTTCTCCTACTGGGTTCTTCACACCCACCTGTGCTGCGCAGTGGCCTCCAAAAGGTGTGTCACGTTCTAATCCCCCAGACCTCTGAATGTGACCTTATTTAGAAAAGGTTCGGGACATTTGGGTGGCTCAGTTGGTTAAGAGTCTGAATTTGGGTCAGGTCATGATCTCACGGTTCATGAGTTCAAGCTCTGCATCGGGCTCTGTGCTGACAGCTCAGAGCCTGGAGCCTGCTTCAGATTCTGTGTCTGCTTCTCTCTCTGCCCCTCCACTACTCACACACACACCCACACACACACACACACTCTCTCTCTCTCTCTCTCTCTCTCAAAAATAAAAATGGGGTGCCTGGGTGGCTCAGTTGGTTAAGCGTCTGGCTTCGGTTCAGGCTGTGATCTCACGGTTCGTGGGTTCGAGCCCCGCATCAGGCTCTGTGCTGACAGCTCAGAGCCTGGAGCCTGTCTTTGAATTCTGTGTCTCCCTCTCTCTCTGACCCTCCCCTGCTCATGCTGTCTGTCTCTCTCTCTCTCTTAAAAATAAATAAAACATTAAAAAAAAACAAAAATAAACATTAAAATTTTTTTTTTCAAATATTTTGTTTATTTCTAGGAGAGAGAGAGAGACAGCGTGAGCAGGGGAGGGTCAGAGAGAGAGGGGGTCACAGACTCTGAAACAGGCTCCAGGCTCTGAGCTGGCAGTCAGCACAGAGCCCGACGCGGGGCTCGAACCCACGAACCGCGAGATCATGACCTAAGCGAAAGTCGGACGCTTAACCGACTAAGCCACCCAGGCGCCCCTTAAAATTTTTTTTTAATTTAAGGGGAAAAAAGGGTCTTTGCCGCTGTAACAAGAATCTTGGGATGAGATCATCCTGGATTATCCAGGTAGGCCCTGACTGCAAGGGCAAGTGCCTTTACAAGAGAGACAGAAGAGGTTTGCGACAGCACAGGAGAGGCGGCCTGGAGGTGAGGCAGAGAAGGGAGCCACATGGCCACAGGCCAGGACTGCCTACAACTGAAGGGAGCCTGGCCACGTGACACCCGGATTTCAGAATTCCCATCTCCAGACTGAGAGAAAGTACATTTCTACTGTTTTAAGCCCCCAGGCCTGTGGTACTTTATTGCAGCCGCCCCAGGAAGTGAATACTCTCACCATCTCAGGATACTACGAAGCATACACGTTTTTGTCAGTGTAACAGGTAAACATGGTTCTTTCCACAGTAACTAAGCCCTGGAAGGGAAGCAACCCTGAGGGTCTGTCAGCCTCCCTACAGACAGGTAGGTCCCTAAAACCTGTCAAAAAAGAAGAGCCTCAGGCGTCGGCCGGAGCCAGAGCTCCTGCAGGCATGGCCGTGGCCTTGGCCGGGACTGGGATGGGCACAGCCACAGTCCTTTGGCGCTAGCCGCACCTCGGTAATCACATGTGCCAATTCCTTAAAATACATGTCTCTCTCTAGACACATCCCTGGAGGCCTCCCCCCCCCCCCGCCACTAAGATTTGGCCCCAGGCCTGGGAGCAATGGGGGCGGGGCACACAGCTAGATTCCCACAGCAATGACGTTGTGGGAGCTCCTCCCTGCAAGACAGGAAAGTGGAGGGGCTGAGTCGGGCAGCTCCATCCTGGGCAAAGTCCCTGGAGGAGACCCACGTGGGTTGAGGCCTGGGCAGCCTGTTCTGCAGCAGCTAGCTTCCCACCACATTCAGGAAGCTTCCCCAACAGCCTAACAAGATTCCCTGCCCCTGAGTAAAGACTGGAGGAGAAGAGCTCCAGAAAGGGCCTTGCACCATTGCCTCAGGATTATTGCCTCAGGATAAGTGTTGCAGCGAGATGAGGTCTTCAACATGGCACAGGGCCAAATCAATACCCATGGCAAGAGATAACACCAATCCCTAACTCATACACAAAATTATTCCAGATGGGACATAAATCTAAATGAGAAAAGTAAACAAACCTGTAGAAGAACATCTTCATGACCTTGAGTGGGTAAAGATTTCTTAAACAGGACAGAAAAGGCACTAATTCATAAAGGAAAAAGCCTGAAAAACAGAACTTTGTTAAAATCAATAACGTGTTCATCCAAAGACACCAGGATGAAAGGGAAAGGCACGGCACAGGAAGACTTAACATCTGCTTTACATGTATCAAAAAGGATCTATGTTAGAATACTAGAGTCAGTGAGAGAGGCAAAGGACCTGAAAGAAAAATGGGCAAAATACTTGAATGGGCACTTCATGAAAAGGATATTCACAGCCAATAAATATCGACAACGTAACATGCAAGTTAAAATCAGAATGAACTGCCCTGACAAGCCCACCATGACATTCCCTCCTGTGAAGTGTAAGCAGGTACTACCACTTTGGAAAACTGTCTGGCAGTATTTCCTGACCCAAACATCTCATCCCTAGGCATATGCTCCACAGAAATGCACATGCCCATTCACTAGAAGATGGGACCCTGTGGTGGCCCCAGCCAAAAAACACTGGAACACCCAATCCCAAAAGAATGGGTCCACAATTCGCGTGATATCATCATGATTGAATAGTGTGGTCAGCTGAATGATAGACTCCCAACATGTACATATTCTGATCCCTGCATCCTGTGAAATGTGTTTCATTATATGGTAAAAGGAATGTTTTTAAGAGTCTTGGGGTGGAAGCTACCCAAGTGTCCACTGGCAGGTGAAGGCAGTCCATCCACACATTAGTATTATTCAGCCTTAAAAAGGAAGGAAATTCTAACATCTGCCACAACATGATAAACCTCAGAGATGTTATTCCAGGTGAAATAAGCCAGTCACAGAAGGACAAACACTCAATGATTCTTCTCATATATGTAGTCAAATTCAGAGACAGGGAGTAGGATGCTGGGGTCTGGGGGTTGGTAGGAAGGGCAAATGGGGAGTTGTTCATTAGGTACACAGTTTCAGTTTTGCAAGATGGCAAGTTCTCCATATCTGTCGCACAACAATGTGTATCTAGTTAACACTACTTAGCCATGTATAAGATGCTAAGTTTTATGGGTTTTTTACCACAATGTTTTTTTCTAGGAAAGAGAGAGAGAGACAGCGTGAATAGGGAAGGGTCAGAGAGAGAGGGAGTCACAGACTGAAACAGGCTCCAGGCTCTGAGCTGGCAGTCAGCACAGAGCCTGACGCGGGGCTCGAACCCACGAACCGCGAGATCATGACCTAAGCAAAAGTTGGACACTTAACTGACTAAGCCACCCAGGCACCCTTACCACAATTTTTTAAATTAGTTGATTTTTCTAAAAAGAATTTTGAGATGGAGAGATCGCGGATTATCTGTATTGGCCCAATGTAATCACAAGGGTCCTCAGAAAGTGTTGAAAGAATATATCAATCTGGATCTGAATATCAGCAAAACTGGTATATAAGAACAAGGGGAAATTGGGGTGCCTGGGTGGCTCAGGCAGTTAAGCATCCATCCAATTCTTTTTTTTTTTTTTTAATTTTGATGTTCTTTCTCTGAGAGAGACAGCCTGAGCAGGGGAGGGTCAGAGAGAGAAGGAGACACAGAATCCCAAACAGGCTCCAGGCTCTGAGCTAGCTGTCAGCATCAGAGCCCAATGCAGGGCTCGAACCTAAGAACCATGAGATCATGACCTGAGCGGAAGTCGGACGCCTAACCGACTGAGCTACTCAGGCGCCCCAAAACCCATCCTACTCTTGATTTTAGCTCAGGTTGTGATCTCACGGTCAGTCGTGGGATAAAGCCCCGCAGTGGTCTCTGCACTGAGTGTGGAGCCTGCTTGGGATTCTCTGTCTCTCCCCCTTTGCCCCTCCTTGGCTCATGCTCTTTCTCAAAAATAAATAAATAAATGTTTAAAAAGGGGGGGGGGGGCGTAGTGGGGATAAAAACATTTGCCAGAAAGCAAACACTGAGGGAGTTTCCAGAGTCTGTTCTAAAGGAACTTGGAAAGGATTTAAAAAAAAAATTTTTTTAATGTTTTATTTATTTCTAAGAGAGAGACAGCGTGAACAGGGGAGGGTCAGAGAGGGAGGGAGACACAGAATCCCAAACAGGTTTCAGGCTCTGAGCTGTCAGCACAGAGCCCAATACAGGGCTCGAACCCACGAACCGTGAGATGATGACCTGAGCCAAAGTTGGACACCTAACCAACTGAGCCACCCAGGCGCCCCAGGATTTTTATTTCAACATGATAAAAGGGTGGTCTGAGATTCAACAGAGGGGAGGCAGAAAGGTCAGCTAAGTTCAAACAGTATTTTCTGTATGAAATCATACTAGGGTCTAGTTTGTGAAGTTTTCTCAAAGGAGACATAGGGAGCAGAGGAGGGGAGGGATGCTGTTCCAAGGTCCTGTCACCAGGAGAGGGGGACTCAAGATGCCACGTGCTCAACTTTGTACTCAGACTCAATATAGGGAAAGAAAGAATGAAAAGAAAGAGAAAGAGAGAAAGAGAGAAAGAGAGAAAGAAAGAAAGAGAGAAAGAAAGAAAGAAAAAAGAAAGAAAGAAAGAAAGAAAGAAAGAAAGAAAGAAAGAAAGAAAGAAAGAAAGAAAGAAAGAAAGATGGATCAAAAGCAGAATCAGACCTATAAATGCAGAAAACAATCTGATGGTTGCCGGAGGGGAGGGGCCTTGGGGAAAATGGGTAAAGGGGCGAGAGATACTGGCCTCCAGTTACGGGGTGAGCAAGTGACAGGAAGAAAAGAGCAGTATAAGGAATATGGTCTATGACACGGCAGTTGTTAAAAAGCCCACTAGTTCTCCGAAGTGGTGGTTAGACTCTTTGCGAGTTCACAGTTTTACATCTGAATACTTTAGCTGGCTGGAATCCGTTTTGGTATAAGCAGCGGGAGGCCTGACCTTAATTTGTCTAAATACCGAGGCACGTATCAAATGTTCCATTTTTTACCACTGATTTTCAAAGACACCTTTTCTCTAGGAAGGCATACAGGCATTCGCACACACAAACACACGTGAAGCACACACGTGGTTTTGCTCGGTTTGCCTCTGGAACCTGACAGTCTGTCACCAAGGTTCATCTGGAAAACCAGCGAGGAGGGATGGACGGCCCTGGCAGCGCACCTCTGAGCGCACAGGCCGTGCTCAGCAGCTCCCGGGCACCCTCCCCGGCTGCAGCGCCGGCGGCACCCCTGGCTGAGCCGCGGGGCAGCCTTGCGCCAGGCCCGGCACGCGTTACAGCCTTCGCAGGAGCTCCGGTGAGAAACCAGTCCTCTCAGCCACTGGGACAGAATGGAGAACACTGACCAGAGGATTCTACACGCAGGTCTGCCTCTAGACACTAAGGCCATTAGTCGTCAGGCAGGGAGCTTCCGGGGGCGGGTGTGTTCACTGCTCCATTAGTGACGGGTTCATGGGCATACTTGTCTGTCCGCACTCATCAGACCGGACACTTTAAATGAGTGAAATTTATCCTGTCATCTCAATAAAGTGGTTTTAATCTAGTATTTAAAACAAGAAACAATTTAGCCAAGGCGTTCGTATAGCGAATAATCAATCAGATGAGCTGGGATTGGAGCCCCCATCTGCTCAATTCCTGGTTCTTGTGTTTTTCCCTCAGTGATAGCCACTCTTAAAATTATTTTCATGTTGGTAATCTATAGATTCAGTTGAGTACCCAAAAACTGGACTATTCTGTTTCCAAAAATATTTTTTGTTTTGGTAGAAAATTTTGCAAACCCATAATGGTATTAATATGGTACACTTACCTTCCTTTTTAAAAAAGTTTTTAATTTTATTTAGATCCAAGTTAGTTAACAGTGTAGTAATGATTTCAGAAGTAGAATTTAATGATTCATCACTTACATATAACACCCGGTGCTCATCCCAACCAGGGTCCTCCTTAATGGTCATCCCTATTTAGCTCATCCCCCCACCCACCTCCCCTCCAACAACCCTCAGTTTGTTCTCTGTATTTAAGAGTCTCTTATGGTTTGCTTCCCTCTCTCTCATTTTATCTTACTTTCCTTCCCTTCCCATATGTTCATTTGTTTTGTTTTTTAAATTCCATATGAGTGAAATCATATGACACTTGTCTTTTTTGGACTTATTTCGCTTAGCATAATACCCTCTAGTTCCATCCATTGTTGCAAATGGCAACAAAGATTTCATTCTTGTTGATCACCGACTAATATTCTACTGTATACATCTTCTTTATCCATTCATCAGTCATAATTTGGCTACTGTTGATAATGCTGCTAAAAACATTGGGGTGTATGTGCCCCTTTGAATCATCATTTTTTAATCCTTGGATTATCTAATCTAGTAGTGAAATCACTGGGTCATAGGGTAGTTCTATTTTTAATTTTTTGAGAAACCTCCATACTGTTTTCCAGAGTAGTTGTACCAGTTTGCATTCCTGGAACACTTACCTTCCTTAATACTTCCTGACCTTTGAATGGGGAGAGCCTGCAGAGGGGGAATCTGTGCGATGGGTGGCTGCTGAGGTAGCTGCTGAATGATGGTGGCAGGAGGCTGGGGGACCTAAAAAGAGCCAGATGGTCAGTTTCCTAGACATGCCCTAGGAGAGAGTTCTACAGCATCCACTTACCCACCTACCTACCCATCCACCCATCTATCTGTCTACCCACTCATCCATCACCCTACCCACCTACCCACCCATCTGTGCCCATCCACCTGCTCACCCGTCTCTCTACTCACCCACCCATCCATCCATTCATCTACAACTCTATCCATCTATTTACCTACCCATTCACCTGCCTACCCGTCTATCTCTCTACTCTCCCATCCATCATCCACCCATCTATCCACCCACACATTCATTCATTTATCCATCCATCCAATAGGAACTTTATTATTTAAAAAAATTTTAATGTTTATTTATTTTTGAGACAGAGACAGCATGAGTGGGGGAGGGGCAGAGAGAGAGAAATACACAGAATCCGAAGTAAGGCTGCAGCACAGAGCCTGACGCAGGGCTCAAACTCACAAACTGTGAGATCATGATCTGAGCCGAAGTCGGACGCTTAACCAACTGAGCCACCCAAGGGCCCCCAAAAGGAGCTTTAACTGATTAACCCAGCATATTGAATAGATTGCTGAATAGATATTTGAGTCCAGGTATCACTTAGGACATGGTGTGTTATAAATATTTATGTCTACCCCTAAATTCATATGTTGAAGTTCTAACTTCCAATATGACTACATTTGTAGATAGGGCCTGTGAAAAGGTATAAAAGGTTAAATGAGGTAATAAAGGTGAGAATCTAATTCAATAGGGCTGGCATCCTCATTAAAGGAGGAAGAGATGGGGCGACTGGGTGACTCAGTTAAGTGGCTAACTTTGGCTCAGGTCATGATCTCATGGCTCGTGAGTTTGAGCCCTGCGTCGGACTCTCATCTATCAGCGCAGAGCCCGCTTCAGATCCTCTGTCACCCCCTTTCTCTGCCTCTCCGTGGCTTGTGCTCGTGCTCGCCCTCTCTCGAAAATAAACAGACATTTAAAAAAATTTTTTTAAGAGGAAGAGATGCTAGAGAGCCTTCTCTGTCTGCCATGTGAGAACAGTGAAAAGGCAGCTGTCTGCCAGCCAGGAAGAGAACTCTCTCCAGGAACCTGATTGGCTGGCACCTTGATCTTGGATGTCCAGACTCCAAAACTGTGAGAAAATAAATTTCTGTTGTTTCAGCTGCCCAGTCGGTGGCACTTTGTTATGGCAGCCCTAGCAGACTAAGACGTGGTGTTTTTAACGTCGCCCACATTTTCTGTCTTCAGTAGGCTAAACTAATGAATGTCTGATCATTAACTTGGCCTTAATGGAGGCGCCTGAGGAACAGGTCATGAAAATAAGTTCTGGCTTCTCTCGAGTTAAAATAAATGTACAAAAATTTCACGCACACACTAGGTGCTGATCGTGTACCAAAGACTTTCTATTTTACTCCTCTTCTGGATGAACAAGGCCCTGAGCTTGTCCTTTCTTTCCTGGTTCACAGAACTGATGGCATCGAGCAGGGGCTGGCAAACTCTTCCTGTGGAGGGCCAGACAATGAACAGTTCTGACTCTGGCCATGTAGCCTCAGTTGCAACTACTCAACTCTTCCATTGTAGCTTGGAGGCAGCCATAGACAGGAAAGACTCAACCAATGAAAGTTCAATTATGGGCACTGAGATTTGCATTTCATATCATTTTCATGTGTTACAAACTATTATTCTTCTTTTGATGTTTTTCTCCCCAAACATCTAAAAACATAAGATCAGTCTTAGCTACAGGTTGTACAAAAACAGAGGGCAGGCCAGCTTTGGGTCATAGCCACACTTTGCTATCCACTGCATAGACTGATGGGACTATGCCTTCCTGGCTTGGAGGACACTCTACCTCAGAGTCTCTGGGTCCAGCCTCAAGGAAATTCACTGTAACAAACAAAGGCCCCTCCTGTCCTCTGCTTGTCACGGGGGCTGAGCTGAAACATGCGAGCAGTGTAAGCGTGTTTGAATGGGAGGAGCCTCTTGTGCTTACACCCCACCACCCCCACCACTCCCGGGAGGAGGTTTCAGCTGTTGGGAGACCTGAAGGCACAGGCTGGCGACATCTGGACCTGGACACAGACAGCCCAGGGGCAGTCCACTGGCACAGATCTCTCCCTGATCGGAAGTCGCCCCTTCCCACTCTCTTCCCTCAGCCACGTGCTGCCAGGGTCTTGTTCCAAAGAACAAACACCCTCCAGGTATTGGCCCCAGCCTGCCGGCACCAATATTCTCCCTGGTCAGCAGGTCCAGAACCTTCTCAGCTTGGTCCTGCCCACCTCCTCGGCCTTCTCTGCCTTCTCACCTGCCCTCCCGTACTGGAGAAGTCAGAGTTGCTTTCCATTGCCTGCAACCCAGATGCTGCATGAGGTTCTCAAAATCGGAACACTTTTTTACCTTTTAAAATTCTGCCATTGGGGCACCTGGGTGGCTCACTCTGTTAAGCTTTTGACTTTTGGTCTCTACGATCTCATGGTTCTTGGGTTCAAGCCCCACCTCAGGCTCTGTGCTACGCTGACAGCAGGAAGCCTGCTTGGGATTCTCTCTTTCCCTTTGCCCCTCCTCTGCTTGTATGTGCACTCTCTCTCAAAATTAAAAAATAAACTTTAAAATATGTATGTATATATTGAGGCACCTGGGTGGCTCAGTTGGTCGAATTTCTGACTTTGACTCAGGTCTTGATCTCAGGGCTCGTGAATTCGAGCCCCACATCAGGCTTTGTGCCGATAGCTCGGAGCCTGGAGCCTGCTTTGGAGTCTGTGTCTCCTTCTTTCTCTGTCTCCCTGTCTCACACTCTATCTCTTTCTCTCAAAAATAAAATATTTAAAAAATTTAAAATCTATATGTATATAAAAATGAAATTCTGCCCTTGAAATTAGGGTCTTAGGCTTCTCCTGCTCCTTATGAAATATTGAGAAAGTATGGACACACTTCTTCCCCAAATTCAAGGCCCTTCTGACGCTGAATACTTCTGCTCCTGGTGCACAGGTTAGGACCTGGGAGTCAGGAAGGCCTAAGGGGACCCCAGCCGCTTGTCTGTAATGAGGGGGTGAGGCCTCCCCTTCCCCAAAGCCAGTTCTTAGGGCACCCGTGAGGACTGCACGGAGGAGCCACGGAGGTCCCTGTACAGTGCCTGGGACGTGGGACACGCAGCCACCGTGAGCTCCTGGCTGACTCACCCTCTTCAGACCCCCCCCCCCCCGTAACGCCGCTGAGCTGGGCCCGGAGGAAGGAGCCGGGCTCCCTGGGCCCCGCGCCCTCCCCACTTTGGTTCCTCCCCTGGTTCACCACCGAGACTCGCCAAGTGTTGGATAATCCACGGTGGCTCCAGGGCTGGCGGGGGTGGGGAGACGGCAGGGTACATGCCCGCTGGGGGCACCTCCGAGGGCAGCGCCGCCCCCCAGGCTCCTCCTCTGTTCACCCCACTCCGGGCTTGGGCCTGGGACACCTCCTCCAGGAAGTGCTGCTCCTGCAACAGCAACGCAGGGCCCGCTGCAACCAGGCAGGGAGCACCACAGACACCGAGGCGGGGGGACGGGGGCTCCCGGGCCCCCCACCTGGCACGGAAGTGTGGTCCTCTGTGCAGGGCGGGCCTCGGGGCTGCCTGGCACCGCCGAGCTGCCCCACGGAGGGCACAGCCTCTCCGGGACCGGAGCCGGGCTTTGCGTGTGGGGCACACACGACAGCAGACCTTCTTGTTGAGGGCGGGGAGGGGACGATACTTCTCTTTAGGTTTATGAAATGACACGGATTAGTGTCTGTGTGCTTTTCTCCCAGTCAACAGGGTAGGTTCTCTCTTTTCAGCGTCGCCACAAAGCAGCATTTCGTCATAACCGTCCGTGTGGACTCCATCTGTCACTTTCCACGGTCATTCCCTGTTGCTGAGGCATTTAGTTTGGAGGAGGCCCTTGGCCACCCTAAAACCCCACCTCCTGTAGGAACTGGGTCATTTGCACAGCATTTCTGCCTTGGATAACGTGCAAGTGCAACCACAGCAGGAGTTTTCAGCCGACACCCCCGTTAGAACCTAGACTGGAACGCGCGCCTGCCTCACTTTGTCTTCTGTGACGAGGTGCAGTCTCCTGGCTGCTCGGGGCGTCAGGTACCCACCCCCAAGCCACAGACCCCTGGGGCCCAGTGTTCCCTCCGGGAAGCCCTCCTCCGTGCCTCTGGGCTGGGAGCCCCCGCTTCGGCCCCGAGCCCCAGAAGGCGGCAGGGCGCGCCTGGCCTACCCGGAGCCTCTGCAGAAGGCCTTCCCTCCTCCTCAGAGCACTCAGCATGGCTGCATCCGGCCTGTCCTCACTCCCTGTGGAGAATGATCTTCTTATTTCTGGAAAGGGGCTGCAAGTCGCATTGGGCGGGTTTCCACTCAGGGTGCAAGCACTGCATTGTTCCTGTCACAGAGGCTCCCTGGACACTGAGGAGAGGGAAGAGGCCTTGCAGGTCGTGGTAGTGAGCGAATCTGGGCCGCGAGCCCGGCCTGCTGCCACCTGCAGTCACCCGGGGGCCCCAAGCAGCCTGGAGGCTGGTGCCGTCCACCGAGTCTCGGTAATGTCATTGGCTGCGTGCTGAGGGAGGAGTCCCACTCCAGAGGACGTTCTGAACAGGGTCTGGTGGACCCCAGGCTGGCTCGGGCCTTCCTTCCTCCGGGCACCGCAGACTTATTTTCCAGCGCCCCTCCCCCACTGCTGAGGATGCTAGAGCAATCTGTCCCTGCAGGTGGGGGTCCCCAGGAGTCCCCTCTGCCCTGGCCCATCCCACAGTTCATTGGTCAGTGACCTGGTCTGGAATTTCCTATCTGGATTTGAGTCCTGGGCTCTGCCTGCTGCCCTTGGAAGTGGCCTGAAGGGACATTCCGCATGAGGGAACGTGGAGGCAGCTCTCGTAGGGACTCCCCAGCACCTCACCCAGATGTTCCTGAACCTGGAACAGCACCGGGGAGAGCGGTCCTCTCCCCTGGCTCCTGGGGCCTGAATGTCTGACTATAGGCCAGGGTGGCAGATACAAAGGGGTGCCCTGTCTGGGTGTTTGAGGATGTGATGACCTGACGGACAGGTTGAGCCCTGCATCCCCCACCCAGAGCAAGCTCAGAACAACCTTGGTCTGATCCACGTGTGGCCACTTCCGAGCTGGGCAACCTGGGGCAGGTTATTAGATCTCTCTGGGCTTCTATTTCCTTATCTACAAAATGGGAATAATAAATGTATCCCCTCTCGGGGTTTATATGAGGGTATGATAAGCCACGAGGGCGTGCTCAGCACAGCAGCTGGGGGTGTGTGTGTGTGGGTTTTAAAGATGAAAATGAAAGTCTGTCAATTCGGAGTATGAGAGAAAAGTATAAGGATGGTCTTGCTGATTTCAGGAGGAGGGAGGGACCCAGGGGGAGGTCTCGTGCCTGCCTGTGTGGCTCCAAGCAGCCAGGGCCTCACCTGGCACGAAGCGAGGGTCCTCAGAATCCCCTTCCACATTCTCACGCTCTCGCTCCAGTTTCTGTGCCGAAGAGATCAGGACAGGAAGTGTGCGAGTGGGCAGCGTCTGCGCTGGGTGAGCGGCATCTGCCCCTTCTGCCGCCCGGGGTGACATCCCCCAGAGGGTCCAAAGGGCCCAGTGTCCCACGTGGAGGTGACCGGGGACAAGAAGTGCTGAGTGACAGAGGTGCAGCACAGGTGGCAAGGGTCATGTGTACTGTTGCAGGGACTGTGCAGGCTGCACTCTCCATCCAGTGCACACACATTCCACCGTGAAATCTAAGGGCAGATGCTCTGACATATAGGCTCCTTTCTCTTTAAAGCTTATTTATTTATTTTGGGGGGGGAGGTTCAGAGAGAGAGAGGGAGAGAGAGAATCCCAAGCAGGCTTCATGCTGTCAGCGCAGAGCCTGATGTGAGGCTCCACCTCACAAACCACGAGATCATGGCCTGAGCTGAAATTAAGAGTTGGATGCTTAACCGACTGAGCCACCCAGACGCCCCCGTATGGTCCCTTTCAAGCAGCTTTCTGAAGAGCATGACCGAGGCCAGCTCTGTGGTCCTGACCCCCTCAGATCACCTGGGCCCTGGGCTGAGCAGCAGTCTGGGCCCGTCTTGGGCTGACCCCTGCCAGCGGCCCCCATGTTGGCCCATGGGCCCCATGGAAGGAAGGCCCCTGCACTGGGTGCCTGTCAGGACGGGCTGGCCAGGCACCAGCAGAACGTGCAGTGGGGGACAGGGGTCAGGACGTGCCCTGGGCCGGCCTACGCGGCTCTGGGTCCTGCAGCGGCCAGGGCCTGTCTTCTCTCAAGCTGGGAGGCTCTGCAGCGGAGTTCTGTGCAGCCCTGGAAATGCTTTAGCCTGTGGGTGCAACCGGCCTCCTGGCTGAGAAACCGCCAGAAGAACCTAGCTGATTCTGCAAAAATGCAGAGAAAAATACCCAACAGACCATAGTCCTTCATCATGAGGCTGAAAACAACTGCAAAGCGTCTTGCTTTGGAAGGAGTATTCTCACAAGTCTAATACCTTACTTTGTATATCTGTGCTTCTTTGACAAGTTGTTAAAAACACGATTAACCCCCGCCAGCCCCTGTCGTACCTTCTCTAAGAGTTTCAGGGTCAGTCGGGTCATTGCATCTGCCACTGAGGAGTCCAGCATTCTTGGACCGTAAGAGGGGACACTGCCAGGCCCACCTCTCCCTGGGTCTCAGGTTATCTGCGAGAAAGAACTGCTCAGCTGGACAGAAGCGCCCCAACCCTGGTGTCTTTGAAGGATTCCTGAGCTGGGCCCAGATTACGTCCTGGAGACCGGCCTCTGCTGCCAGAGAAGAGCATGTGGGAGGGTGGCCCCCCTCCCCCTCCCCCTGGACTCCAGCGTCGGGAGCCAACACTGGCATCGCCTTGGCAGTTGCTAGGCAGTGCAGACACAGGAAGGCCCAGGTTGCTGGGTTTCCACTGAGAGTCCTTCCCAGCACCCCCATCCCCTCTGCCTGGGCCCCACCCAGGGGTTACCTATAAACACTGCTAATCCCCAGGTGTAGCCAGGCGGGGCTTACTGGGAAGGCAATGGGCAGCGGCTTGGGCCAGAGGGCCAGAGTGAGGTTCTGGGGGGAAGGACAGTCCTGACCCCCCGTCATGAATGCCCCCACTCTCAGAACTGAGCCCAGAAGAGTATGGGGTAGGGGTTGGGGACAGCTGCATCCTTCCTCATGCACCACAGGGGCCTACCAACCCCTCATCTGGTGCAGCCTCCAGGAGGCCAGCAAGCCCCAGACCCTTCGAGGGACCCTCAGAGCCAGATGGGAGTGAAGCCTGGGCACCCGCAGGGCCGGGTGGGGACACCAGCTCCCTGCAGATTTCAGGAAACTCTGAGGGGCAGAAGGGGCACAAAGGAGATGGCCGATGACATGCCTGGGGCTTCCCTGGTGGGGATTCCCAAGGGGGTCCCCCCCACAGGCACCTCGCCATCCCCTTGCAGGACACAGGGCCACCCGGGACCACCACTGCTCCAGGCAGGGGTGTGATTCCAGCATTGGGGCTGCTCTGTGGGACCCCAGCCCAGAAAGGGGTGGGGGCACCTAGGGACAGGACCACTGGTCGGGTCAGGCGTTGGCGGCTGGAGTGCATGTCTGCAGGGCTGAGGGTGGGGAGGGGTAGCATTCAGCAAGGGAAGCTTTCTATAAATGATCCTTCACACAGAAGGCAGGGCACAAAACTGATATGAGTGGCCCTTCATCTGCTTAGGCTTCGCATTCCAGATTTGCAAATTAATCCGCCCGGCTGAAGAAGCAGACATAACAGATTTGCTATTAGAGCCCATGATAGCAGTCCGGGGCTGCAGTGTGCTCGAGCGGGGGGACCAGCACACTTACAGGCCCTGCCTCAATGCAACTCGTATCAGGTGGCAAAAATGTGGCTAAAAGTCCCTTAAATTGCCCATACACTTTAGTATTTATGGTTTTATATGTATCATAACCCTAACATTCAAACAGGAGGTCTGAGTGTGGACAAAAACGAACTTAGCTAAGCTAGTCAAACTAGCCAGGAGATAATCTCAACGTTATATATAACACATCCCAGTATGGATCTGTTAAAGTGTTTTCATAAAAATGAGGATATTTAGGGGCGTCTGGGTGGCTCAGTTGGTTAAGCGTCCGACTTCAGCTCAGGTCATGATCTCATGGTTCGTGGGTTCGAGCCCCTGTGTCGGGCTCTGTGCTGACAGCTAGCTCAGAGCCTGGAGCCTGCTTCAGATTCTGTATCTCCCTCTCTCTCTGACCCTCCCCTGCTCATGCTGTCTCTATCTCTCTGTCAAAAATAAATAAAATATTTTAAAAAAGATATTTATTTAAAGTTTAGAATTACAGAAAAATCAAGATGGTAAATAGGTTCTCACATATGGCTTCCCCTATTATTTTTTAAAAAATTTTTAATTCTTTTATTTATTTCTGAGAGAGAGAGAGACAGCATGAGCAGGGGAGGGTCAGAGAGAGAGGGAGATACAGAATGTGAAGCAGGTTCCAGACTCTGAGCTAGCTGTCAGTACAGAGCCCGACGTGGGGCTTGAACCCATTACCGTGAGATCATGACCTGAGGCGAAGTTGGATGCTTAACCACGGAGTCACCCAGGCGCCCCTGGCTTCCCCTATTATTAAGACCTTATATTGTTATGTCTACAGAATGTTACAATTACTACAATTAATGAACCTAGACTGATACATTAACTATGGTCCATACTTCCTTTGATTTGCGTTTTTTTTGTTTTGTTTTTTTGCCTGACATCCCTTCTCTGTTCCAAAACATCATATAACTTTTACTCATCATGTCCCCTTAGATTCCTCTTGCTTTGGATGACCTTGGCAGCTATGAGGAGCACTTCTCAGGCATTTTGTGGGGTGTCATCTATTAGCAGGGTTTGTATGTTTTCTCATGATTGGACTGGGGTCTGGGTTGATGGGAGGAAGACCACAGAGATAAAGTGCCATCATCATCACGTCACATCCAGGGTGCATGTGGGAACCTTGACTTTTCACTGTTGATTTTGACATTGATTACCTGGCGGAGGTATATTTGTTAGGTTTCTCCACTACCCAGTTACTATTTTTCTCTCCCTTCCCACACTGTCCTCTGTGGGAGGAAGTCACCATGCACAGCTCATAAATAAGGAGTGAGGGTGGTTTCCCTCCTTGGGGGTGAGTATCTACATAATTTATATGGAGAGCTTTTTAATTGGTGGCTCAGTCGCTTAAGTGTCTGACTTCAGCTCAGGTCATGATCTCACACACAGTTCGTTGTTCGAGCCCTGCATCGGGCTCTGTGCTGACGGCTCAGAGCCTGGAGTCTGCTTCGGATTCTGTGTCTCCCTCTCTCTCTGCCCCTCCCTTGCTCACGGTCTGTCTCTCAATCTCTCAAAAATAAATAACATTTAAAAAATTAAAAAATATAAGTTGAGACTCAGATCCAGCATTAATATAGTCTAGAAAGACCATGGAAATGATTCTGAGGTTCTAGGGAACATAGATTGAACACCAATGACCAAACCAGTGTGAGAAAACTGTGGGTATGTGCCCCATGGAGCTTTAAATCCATTGCAACATGTAGAGTGAGAGATTCAGGCACAGATCTACGGCTGTAACTGCTCTGGGAAAGTCTGATCCTGTGTTCGGCTGGTGTTGCCTGCCTGACCTCTGGTCTTCTGAGCCCACCCACTGCCGCTCATTTTTGCTCAGCCCACTCAATTCTACAAGCTAAGACTGGAAGTGCCACTTACTGAAGGGCCGTGGTCTGACTCAGGAGAGATGCTTTCCGGGGGCTGCGTTTCCAGCACTCTCTGAGAGAGAGCTAAGTCCTGGTTGCTCATGATCACACACTCTCCCGGAGGGGAGACCCTGTGTCAGCAGGACTGTCATTACTGCCTGTTGATGAAAGGGCGTTGTTATTACCCTGATTTCGTTTCAGAGAAGACAGCAAGCAGGCAGCACACAGCCGGCACACAAACAGTGTCCAAGTAAAGGTGTGGGAACAGGTGAGCAGAACAGAAGGAACCCCAGAAATCTAGGGCGTGTCTACGTGTCTACCGCAACATCGGACAGAACAAGGCCACCCACCCCACTCTTGCTTTTTGTGCCACTTTCTCTCTAGTGGCAGGCCACTTGAAGTAGTGTTATCCTACCTGGCTCCCCAATGGCCCATATCTGTAGCAGAGGCATTTGGGACATCACCTTGTCCTTGTCATCTGCCTTGTCATCCTTGAGTTCCGCAGTTCCCTAATCCTGCCACTGAAATGTGGTGGTGTTGTATTTACAGACTCAAAGCGGTGGGGGGTGGGGGGCTTTGTTTTCATCTTCCTTTTAACTGTAAATGGATTATTCCAACAGTGATGAGAAAGGGTAAAATGAGACCCAGGATGTTAAGCCCCATTAGGCAAACAGGATCACTCCTTGGTGAAAGCTGCACAGCTTCCTCAGTGTCCACATGGGCAGAACAACTCGCTGGGGTGCAGTTATGCTACAAGGTGCAGGGAGATGCTTTGGATTATCGTCAACTAGTTTATCAGCTTCCAGTGAGCTTGATTACACCAACAGCACTTGATGGTTAAACTGCGGGCTAGGAATAAAATCATTGCATTGTTTCCTTAACTGGACAAACAGGTTCAAGTGAAGCTAAGGAACAATGATCTCATGAGACTTCGGATTCCCACACAGACCATGAATTCATAACCAAAGTTATACTCCGTCTTTTCTTTAAACTTTTTAACTGCCTTTATTTTTTGGAGCAGCTTTAGGTTCGCAGCAAAATTGAGCAGAAAGTACAAGATTCCCTTTTAATAACCCTTTACAATACACTTGAAATTATTTACCCAAGCTTTTCAAAGCTTTAACCATTTTCCACTTGAAAGACTGTTTTTGATTTTCATTGAACCAGCTTTTTCTGGTGATCAAGAACGGAGCACAATTTAAAAACACATCCTCACCAAAATTTTCTCAAGGAGACTAAAGGCCACTTCGCAAGTTGGCCCTAGGGAGCGCCTTCCAGGCTGGGGTTGCAGAGACTGTCCTAACAGGAATAAGCATGTCTAAGTTAGCCTCTCCTGCGCTTCAGGGCCTCAGCTTGTTCCTCTCCCCTCCAGAGGGTCCTTCCTAACACTCTCTCTGATCCAGGGGACTGCTTTGTGGCAGAAGTGCCAGAGTGGAACCATGACTGTGCGACCCACCGGTCAAATCCTACGCTGCACCGCCCAGAAGTTGCAAGCTGGCGGCAGACGCATTAAATCAGAGACCCCGACATGGCACTGTGTCCCCGGTGAGAGAAACGCAGGTCCAGGAGCGGCACCACTCCCAGTGTCTTGTCCCTGCAACGCTGGGCGCTGTGGACTTGACGGTCCTGGACCGGATTCCCATCCGACAGGCGCCCGCAGGCACGGAGGGAGAAATACAGTCCCGCGACCGGGGAGGGACGCAGAGGGATGAAACCCAAGTGGCCAGGCCGGCGCTCTGCGACTGGGAAGCGAAAAGAAACAGCGTCCCGGAAGACAAAGGCGAGGTGACCCAGGCTCCGACCCCTACGGACCGAGGCCCCGGCTGAAAGCGGGGGAGCTCTAGGACGGGCAGCCGGGGCGAGACAGGCGACGCCGGTCGCAGCCTCCATGCCAGCCGCTCGGCTCGCGAAGTCGCGGCCTCCTGGCCTCCCAGCGCTCACCGAGTAGACACGCCCGTGGGCGGCCTCGGAGCCCCGTCAAAGGGAGGTGAGGCAGGCCTCACCTTCCTGGCGGCCACCTCTAACGCCCCACCAGCGCGACAGGGGACAGAGACTGACGGCCACACTCGCTCCAAAGCCCTTCGAGTGGCCGGCGCAGCCGCACGTACTACACCTGCGCGGGCGCCAACTGGTCTCGGCGCGTGCGCTCGCCGCCCACTCATTGGACAGCCACCCCTTTAAAACCGACCAACCACAGGCCGTTCCGAGGCCTCTGCGCTCCACCATTGGTCCTGCTGGGAGGTGGGATTGACATCGCGCTAAGGGGAGGCCAGAGGTCGACAGGGGCGGAGCTCCGCCCGGGCGGCACCTCCCTGACGGCGCGTGCGCGAGGGCAGGAACGCAACGCTCCGATTGGTGGCGGGGCGGACGGCGCACGCTCGGGGGCGGCGCCCCGACCAAATCTGCGTGACAGTTGTTGCGGGGGGAGGGCAGCCCAGACAAGGGGGAGGGAGTGTAAATAGAGCGAAGGCGGCGGCGTGTTGACCCCGTCACCTCTCGGGCGACCCGCGAGGAACCCCCGAGAGGGAGATGGATGAAGATGAGCAAGAGCAGCGGCGCAGAAAGGTGGAGGCCGGGAGAGCGAAGGTAAACGATAGTGCCTCCTCCTCCTCCCGCTGTCCCGGCGCAGGCTTCTCAGGGAAGGTTCCGGTGGCCGCTGTTGTTCCCTACTAGGAGCGGAATCGATCAGGCGGGGACAGCCGCCAAAGTGTTGCCCTTCCCGCGGACTCGGCTAAAAGTCGCCTCCTAGCCGCCGCCATCTTGAATCCGCCGCCCTCCGCCCGGTCCCGCCCCTGTCGCGGTCGCAGCCAATCACCGGCTCGGGACGTGCGGCCCCGGCGCGCGGAGGTCGGGCGCCGGGCATGCCGGGCTGCGCGGGGCTGCGCCCGCGAGCGGGGCGGGGCGGACGCACGTCCGAGCGCACGGCGGGGCCTGCCCGGCCCTCCCGCCTCTCCCGGGGGAGCTGGCTCGGCGATCTGTCGAGTCACCCTGAGGTCTCGGTCCGTGTCCGCGGCGCCGCGGTGGACCCTGCTGGCCAGGAAAGCGCGGTCACTGACCTCCCGCCACATTCCGATCCCGTTAGAAGGTGCAGGACAAGCGGGTCATGGGGGACGGCCCTGCCCCCGCGCCGCGCGTCGCTCCCCTGTGCACACCCGCACCGGTCGTGGCTCCGCCTCACCAGCAGAACCCAGGGTTCTTGGAGGACTAACAGGGCCTGTGACTCACCTGCATTCGTGGGGGTCGTAGACCCTCCCCCTAGGGCGCATTCACCTCCATCCATTTAAACTACATGCAGATTTTCATATTACTGGGGATTACGCAGGGTTTTTTTTTTATTATTTATTTGTTTACTTATAAATATTTTTATTTATTTCTAGGAGAGAGAGAGAGACAGCGTGAGCAGCGGAGGGTCAGAGAGAGAGAGAAGGAGTGACAGACTCTGAAACAGGCTCCAGGCTCTGAGCTGGCAGTCAGCACAGAGCCCGACACGGGGCTCGAACCCACGAGCTGCGAGATCATGACCTGAGCGAGAGTCGGACGCTTAACCGACTGAGCCACCCAGGCGCCCCATGTTCTTTATTTTTGAGAGAGAGCGTGAGCAGGGGAGGGTCAGAGAGAGAGGGAGACACAGAATCCGAAGACAACCTCCAGGCCCTGCGCTGTCAGCACAGAGCCGGACGCGGGGCTCGAACCCATGAACCATGAGATCATGACCTGGGCTGAAGTTGGACGCTCAACCGACTGAGCCACCCAGGCAGCCCATATGCAGCTTTTTTTTTTTTTTTCTTTAATTAAAATAAATCCTCGAGTGGTTGTCTGGGAACACACATATATATTGTTTACATTGCAGAATATCTCTTGACCTGCTTAATATTTTCTTGGGTCCAGAAACTTTTGTTCTGGCCCAGTTGCTGTTTGGGGTCCAGGTGGACGTCCTGAGCAGGTGAGGGTTGACAGGCTCTGCGGAGCCTATTCCTTATGGTAGGCCTTATAGGGAATCTCCAGACACCTGGACGATATCCTGGGATGTGTTGCGTCCCTAGGTTGTGGATGCCCTGGGGAGCTCGCTGTGGTCCTACAGTCCCTTGTCTCCAGGGATGCTTTTTATTGCCTTGTTGCTGCTCCAGTTTTCACATAAAACTGGTACTCACTGTTGAGGTGGGGAGGCATGTATTGTGGGGATTAAACCATAAGCCGAAAAGACCCGGGCTGTCGAGGTGGAGTGGAGCAAGCAGACACTGTGGCTGTGACTCCCTGCCCTTCCCCAGCTGTGGGGGACTTACTTACCTGCTCTGCCAAGGGATGAGCAAGAGTCTGTGCAGTGTCACCCGATTAGTAGGTAGAGCTGTGTTAAGTTTGCTATGTTTGGGGTCAGACATGGCCAGACACTGGAAATTTCATCTGCACCAGCTAGGAGGAAATATTCAGTGCTAACTTCTTTGAGGGAAACACATGGTCACTGCATTAAAGAGGCCATTCAGAACACATAGTGACTAGTGTGAGACAGTGACAGGGTAGCAGCATCTAATGGCAAGGTGACAGGCAGAGGACAGAGTGGCCTCATTCAGGCTTCCTGTGGAGATGAAACTTGTGAGTAGTGTTTGAATAGGGAAGTGCTGGTGTCCAGGCATGTACATGGGCCAGGAGATGAAAATGAGCCAGAGTTTAATATTGGATTGTGTTTTCCTCGTGCTAGTTGTGGTTTGTAAGTGTGCATAACTGTACTTGAAGGAGTGTTCAGAGCGATGAGGAAGGATCACCTTGTTGGGAAACGGGACATCTCTTGTTGGGAGACCCCCAGGCCAGTGTCAGGGATGGTGATGCAGGAGGGAACCTGGGGCAGTCAAAGTTGATGGAACAGGGCATAAAATCATGCACATGGGGCAGGTTTGGAAGGCCCACTCTGTCCTGGAGACAAGGTTTTTCTCATGTAAGGGACCTTATGTAATTTCTCTGTTCTGTGTGAGCGTGCACTTCTGTTACATTTATGCCAATGTTTATTAAATGCGTTTGCTTTTATGAGCACAGCTGTCATTTGAAGGAGCTGATGTCCCCATATGAAAGAGTGACGTTTGGTCTCATACCTTTGAATAAAGTGTTAGTGGGAGATGCGTGGACAGTCTAAAACCCTTCATTTTGAGGGACTGAACAGCTAGGCTGTGGCTTCTGATGGGTGACATTCTGTGGAGGTCCCTGGTGCATTGGTGAACTGTGTCGTGAAAAATAGAACATCTGATTCCATAAAGGAGGATCTTAGATTGACCTGGCTTAATTAATTTTTTGCTATTTCTGTATCTTGTCTCAGAATCTGTGACTAGGAAGTTTTGGCTAGGCTATATATTTTCTCAATTGGGGGAAAATGGGGGCAAAAAGAGACTTAACGTTTCTGTAGTTTTAAACCTTAAGTATGCCTTGATTAAGCTATCAGTGTTTTAAATAGATATATATGTTTTTAAAATTCCATTTCTCTGTAAACTTCCAGGGGCTAGAAAAGCTATTCTGCCAGTTGGCTGTGTTGCTTTCTTCTGTCTGTATGTAGGCATAATTAACAATCCTCATTATTAGACTCTTTGAAAAGAATTCTGAACTTAAATGCTAGCGTTGCAGTTCTTCATGAAGGCAGAGTTTGTGGGACAGGGGTCTGTTGGTTGACGAGGGTCTGGCCAGGTTTGGCGGAGCACGCTGCGCCAGCCCCAGAGCCTCATGTTCCCCCCCGGCTCATTGGCTTTGTGGTTCTGTTACTTTTTTCTTGCTTATCTTTGTCTCTACTACTTTTCTACGTTTTTGCGCAGCTTGCTCACTTCCGACAGAGAAAAACAAAAGGTGACTGTGCGCATCCGAAGAAAAAGACGGCGAAGAGGAAGGGCCCGGCTGTCGATGCGCCTGTCCAGGAGGAGAGCCCGGTAGCCACCGAGGATGGTGGACTCCTGGGAAGAGGGGACGTTTGCAAAAACACATCCCTCAGCAACACCCCTGACGGGGCAGGAGCAGCTCAGGTGGGTTTACTCAGCACTGTGCGTTATCATCTTGCTTGTCTTCTGGTGGTCGCCACCTGACCGGTCCGTTTTTGCCTGTCAGAGGTGGGGAAAGAGAGGTTCAGTTTACAGAAGAGGAATATGTTTTTGTGTTTTTACTCCTAGTAAACGTCATATTTTCTATGATCATGGATTGTTTGAAGGCACGTGTCAGTATCAGTTCTTGCTTTGGTAATGGAAAGCTCACGAGTGTTAGTTCCACGGGCGTGGTTCTGTGCATCAGCCTCTTTGACGGGCATTTCTTTGCACACTTAAACCATAAAATTCCTTCACCTACTTAGTTTTTTTTGTTCATTACCGTTCTGAATGTGGGATGAAGAGGGAATGGGTGAAGTTGTTGCAGAAAGGGTGTCTGGCTGGCGGCGGCACCGCCGTCCCCTGGTTGAGGCCCTGTGAGCTGAGGGCCGCGTGTGGCCCACTGGCGGATGTGCGTACTGAGAATGCTGGGCCTGCGTGGCCTCCTAGTCACCCATGGGTGGGCGCTCCTTGCGACTTCTTCTGTGCATTATAATTGAGGGGCTTTGAATTGTGGTTTTTCCTTGTTGTGTGCAGGTTTGTATGCAGGTACAGGTTTGGGTGTTTGCTAGAATGAGCTGGCATCCTGGTGGCTGAGGGCAGCATCATTTGACAAAAAATCACGATGTGTCTGGCCTGCTTTATTGGAAAAGTGGAATTGCCGGCCTGTAAAGTTATGATATTCTACCTACACATCTGGAATTCTGCCTCTTGTGAGAATTTGAAGGACCTAGCCGTTGTGCTCCCTCGTCTGGGGAGCAGCTGGCCGGCACTCTGGGAGCCCAGCCGCTGGTCCTGCCCGAGGCCAGCTCACGCCTCCTCTGGTGCGGGCCTGGGGTTCACCATCATCCTCTGCACTGGCCTCGGGGTTGGGCGGCTGCTCTCAGCAGCCCTGTCTCCATCGCCAGGCACAAGCTGCACGGGGCGGGGGGCTGAGAGTTTACCCCTGGTGCTCTTTCTCTGTATGTTTTCTCCTAGGCTCCTCGAGGAGAGAAGCTTGTAATTTATAGTTCCCGGTTATTAATTTGATTTTTACTTTCAAGTCAGAGGAGTCTTTTTATATTAAGCTTCTTTTTGGTGGTGGGGGGAGTGCACCTTGGTGGCTCAGTTGGTTGAGCATCCAACTCTTGATTTCGACTCAGGTCATGATCTCACGGTTGTGAGATGGAGCTCCGTGCTGGGCTTGCACTGAGTGAGAAGTCTGCTTGGTTTTCTCTCTCTGTCCCCACCCCCATGAACGTGTGCTGTCTCTGTCGCTGAGTAAATAAACATTAAAAAAAATGTTTTTAACTTTTTTTTATCCATGCGAGCAGTGGAAAAGGGCGGGGGGGGAGAGTGAGAATATGAGAGAGAGAGAGAGAGAGAGAGAGAGAGAGGGAGAGAGACAGGGAGAGGATCCTAAGCAGTCTCCATGCTCAGTGTGGAGTCTGATTCAGGGTTTGATCCCATAACTGAGATCATGACCTGAGCTGAAATCAGGAGTCAGATGCTTAACTAGCTGAGCCACCCAGGTGCCATGAGGTCTTTTTATTTTATATTAAATGTCTTATGTATTTTAACTTTTCATTTTGAAATAGTGTCCAACTTATAAAAAATTTGCAGAAATTTGTGGATATCCTTCACCTAGTTTCTTGAAATGAATGTCAACATTTGGTGTTATCAGAACAACTATCACAATTAGTTCCTGTTAACACTGGAATAGTACTATGAGCTAATTAATAGAGGTTATTCAGATTTCCCCCACTGTCCCACTAACGCTCTTTCTCGGTCCAGGATTCTGTGTTGGATCTCAATGTCACGCCGTTTCAGTGTCCTCCAGTCTGAAACAGTTTCTCCATCTTACCTTGTCTTTTAGGAGTTGGACGTCTTTGAAGAGTCCTAGCTAGTCGTTTGGTAAAATGCATGTCAGTTTGGGTTTGTTTGACGTTTCCTCCTGTTTAAAATCAGGTTGTGAACTTTGGCAAAAACACTGTGGAAGTGATGGTATTCCCTGCTCGGTGCACTTGGTATTGGTATTTGATGTGTCGCCTTACTGGTAATGCTGGTTTTGATCACTTAGTTAAGGTGGGACCGGCCACATTTCTCTTGATAGAAAAGTTACTATTTTTAACTTTGAAGTTAATAAGTACATTGTATGGAGATACTTAGAGACCCTGCAAAACCCTTTTTCTCATCATGCTTTGTTCCACTAATTTAGCTTCCATAGATGATTCTTGCTTGCAAGATTTATGATAGTGGGGTTGGACACATGATGACTTTGTCTCCATCGTTCTGTCTCCATGTATTAATTGACATTCTGCTGCAAGGAGGAACTGTCACTTTTCTCCAGTATATTTATTTATTTGGTTGTTTATAGCAGTATGGACGTAGGGATTTTTCTTTTTCTTTTTTTCTTTTTTGAATACACTCTACACCCGTCATGGGGCTTGAACTCATGACCCCAAGATCAAGAGTTTCATGCTCTACTGACTGAACCAGGTGCCCATGGATTTTTATTCTTTGGGTTTTAATTTCTCATATCAACTATGTTAGTGTTTATTTTTTTTACTGAAATACATAGATTGGCCATTGGAAGTGCCTTTGAATTGGCACCTCCCCTTCGACCACGTCCTCATTGTTTCTGGTGCCTTAATTCCTTACATTCTGGCACCAAGATTTTCCACGGTTATTTTATCCTTCGCCTGTCATAGCCCTGTAATCAGCCATTTCTTCAAGGAGCTCTGGTTTCTTTTAGTGGAGAATGATATTTAGAAACCAACATCTGGGTGATAGTTGTGCTTAGTGCTGTTGGGGTATCTTTGGCGTGTGGGCTATTTCAACAGACAGAGCTGGGAGAAAAATACCTGTATGTGTTCACATCTATATTTATTTCTTTGTCACTCTGTGTGTATAATAAAAAACATGAATTCACTCTAGAATCTTCAGTTCCTACCCAACATCACAGAGTTCATTGTAGCTCCCCCCACTTCTTAATTCTTTTTACCAATAGTGCAAGTATCTTAGCTATGACGTATTTACTTACTTCCTCAATCTTAAAATATACACAAATTAGTTTGAGGATTGCTAATCATCATCCCTGTGAAAAACAGATTTACTAACTAGAGTAGGATATTTGTATATATAGTTGACCCTTCAGCAACGTGGGGGGTTAGGGGTGCTGACCCCTCACACCAGTTGAAAATCAGCCTATAACTTGACTTCCCAAAACTTGACTGCTAATAGCTTAGTGTTGACTGGAAGCCTTAATGACAACATAATAAAACAGTAGATTAATACATACTTTGTGTGTTTTCTGTGTCAAATGTAGTATTCTTACAATAAAGTCAGCTTGAGGAAAAATATTAAGGTCACAGGTAGAGAAGATACACTTACAGTGCCGCCCGCCGCATGTTTATTGAAAAAAGTCTGTGTGTACACAGTACTGTGCAGTTTAAACACATCCTTGTTGTTCAAGGATCAGTGCTACTCGTTTTTGTCTTTATCATCCCAACGTTTGTTGTTTAGCATTCCAGAGTTCTATAGGTTAATTTTTTAAATATATTTTTTACTTTTTCATTATAGTTACTAATTATTTTTTGAGTAAGTGAAACATTAATTACCAAGATTCTAAAAGTCAGAGCCATATTCAAGGTCATTACCTCCTCTTCTCTACCGCTTCATTCCTATCTAGGAGTGGTATGGTTGTACCCTGTGGTAGGCAGGTATTTAACCTTTTTTTTTTTTTCTCCAAATTTTATTTATTTATTTTGAGAGGGGGAGAGCGCGTGCACACATGCAAGCGGAGGAGGTGGGGAGAGAGAGAATCCCAAGCAGGCCTTAGGCTGTCACCACAGAGCCCAACATGGGGCTCAATCTCACGAATCATAAGATCGTGACCTGAGGTGAAACCAAGAGTCAGACACTCACTGACTGAGCCACCCAGGTGCCCCAATTTAACTTTTGAAAAATCTGCCAAAAACTGTCTTCCAGAGTGGTCATGCCATTTTGCATTCTTATTAGCAACTCAAATTCAGAAATACAAAGGAATGAGCATTCAAGACCTACAAAGACATGGAGGGACCTCAAATGTCTATTGCTGAGTAAAAAGCCAATCTGACAGGCTGCACACTGTGTGGTTTTGTTTGTGTAGCATTCTGGAAAAGGTAAAACTGAAAGTTTTAAACAGATGAGTGGATGCTAGAAGTTGGTGGAAGGAGAGTTGGTGAAGCGGGGATCCTTTAGGGCAGTGAAACTGTCCTGTGTGATCGTGTAAATTTTATGTTATGTCATTAGTGAGAGAGTACGCAAGTGGAGATGGGGTAGAGAGCAGAGAGAGAGAAAGATAGAGAAAGAGAGAAAGAAAAAAGAATCTTAAGGAGTCTCCACAATCAGCTTGGGGCCTGACGCAGGGCTTGATCCCACAACCCTGGGATCATGACCTGAGCTGAAATCAAGAATCAGGTGCTCAACTGACCGAGCCATCCAGGTACTTCATGATCATGTAAATTTTAAAACATCAAATTAAAATGTATGTAAATTAAAAAAAAAAAAACATTTAGGAGATTGAGGAATCCTATGATGGAACGCAAACTTGAACAGGGCCCTAACTGTATTGCTTGTGTACAGAACAACATCAGGGAATGGGGTGAGGGAAAGGTGCTGACCTGAGTAGCTTTGGGGGTGAGTGCAGTTTGGAGGACTGAAGGCAGAAGGCACTGAGTATAAACAGACCCCCGTTGATAAAGGGGTTTCCCACCGGAGTGAGGGTTAACGATTCTGAGGCTGTGTATTCAACGTGCTGGAATCGAGTCGTCAGGGGTGGCGGGAGCCGGGTGTCTCACTCTCCTGATGAGCTCACGCAGCCCTGCCATGGTTGGCGTGTGAATTGGAATGAAGGTGAGGGCCCGTGGAGGTCTGGGGCTGGTTGGAGGGCAGGAGAGAGAAGGTCAGCTGGAAGAAAGGGAGGG